CCCATTGCTGCTGGGGGAGAGATGGGGGTGCGTGGGGCCGGTCACCCGCTTTTGGGTCCCAAGTGGGTGCCATGGGGTCTCTGCGCATGCCCTGTCTCAGCCCTGTCCATTGCTGTCCTCAGGAATACCCCTGCCCACAGCCCTTCTGCTGGTCTCTCCCGTTGCCTCTGTTAATGACTGACGGCAAAAATGCCAGGTCATCGCTCTGGACCCTGTTTGTGCTGGGGGACAGGTCCCTGGGGGTTAAAGCTTCTTCTTGTCTCCTTTCCCCTGGGTGCCCGGCTCTAGTGTCCCGTGGCGGGGTGGGAAGGACCTTCGCAGGGAGCAAAGTGATGCCACGCAGCCTCGCTGGCCCCGTCACTGTCCTCGTTCCCAGTGCGCAGGTGCGGTGCCAGCCCGAGGTGCCCCGGGGCTCATCATCGCCTTTGCAGAGCGGTGAGTCGGAGGCACTGCCGGGGAGCATCCCCCGCTTTGCACGGCCCCGAGCAGCTCTGCCTCCATGCACGGGCCAGTCATGCCCAAGCCCATTCCTCCCCAGCACGCTGCCCTCGGAGGGACCCCACTGTCCCCTGTGGCCGTAGCGACAGAGCCAGCACAGGCAGAGATGACTGTGGTGTTTCCTCTCCCGTGGGTGCTTCGGGTGGCACTGCCCCTTCCCTGCCCTTCCCCTTCCCAGCCACAAGCAGCTTTGGTGGCTCTGCTGACGCCTGGCTGGAGGCTACCTGGCTCAATTATAGGGATGCCTGGGATGGGGGAAAGGCTTTGCCTTTTGCTAATTAGCCAGACAAACAGGCCTGGACCATCTCTCCATACCCCTGAGGCAGGGCAGAAGCAGGCTGGCTGCTGCCGGATGACGTGATCTAATCGGGCAGCGTCTGCAGCGGTGATTGATGGGGAGGGAGAGGCGCTGGCGCCTTCACCTGCGTCCAGGGCAGACGGTAGCATCCCCGCATGCCCCGCAGCATCCAGACCCCGCGGGATGCAGGTTTCTCTGCAGCCCCGGCGGGTTGGAGGCTCTCCCAGGGGAGCCCCGCACCCTCCGCATACAGCTCCTTCCCTGGGGCTGCCTCCCGCTCCCACCAGACCTCCCTGCAGACCACTCCTTCCTCCCACCCACACCTCTCCCATCCCCCCCCCCCCCCCTTCCCCCCCCTGCCATTATTTGCCTCCGTAATTAGTTTATTGATCTCCGCCGAGGGTACCCGGGCTGGGCTGCAGTGAAAGCTGCTGCGCACATTCCCTGTGAATCATTATCACTAAACCCCTGACGCTAATGAGCCTTTGGCAACCACAGACCGAAATCTCTGCTCCTGCCTGTGTCTCTCCCCGCTGTGCCTGGCTTGTTGGAGGGTTGTGCACATTAAATCGGGACTTAACAGTACTCTGCATTTGGCAGTCAGGCTTCCTCCACCAGCTTGAAATGTCAGGGTTAGTTACAGCACGTGCCGATCCGCTGGTACTCGCATCCCCTCCTGTTCAAAGCAGCCACGGGTTATAGCTCAGTGCCGGTGGGACTCTGCGCTCCCCTAGCCCTGCACCGCGTCCATCATGTCTCTCACGGCGAGCCCAAAGCCAGCGGAGAAGCATAAAGCTGTCACTTTGTGCCCTGTGACTAATAGGTGCCATTAGCTCGTGGGACGGAGATGGCGTGCCCTTGCCTGGCCCTGCCTGGCGCTGCCTGCGGTGCTGTGCTGCTCCTGTGCCCTGTCCTCTGAGATGTCTCTGGATGTCCTCGCTCCCTCGGCTTGGAAGCCGCCTTGATGCGGGTCCCGGGCGGGTCCGCCCACTGCCCCAGCTTGACACAGACGGATTTGGGTTGGGAAAGAGCCCGGCCATGAGCCCAGCCTGCGCAAAGGGGACACAGGGTGGGAAAAGAGGGACCCCACTTGCCGTGCCCGGCGAGAGGCACATCTGGGGCATTTCCAAACCTGCCTCAGCCTGCGGTGCCCCAGGGCCATCGCTGTGCTGGGATGTGTCTCTCTGCACCTTCTGCCTTCCACAGCTACCCCAGACATCGCTACGGAGTTTTACTGCAAAAAACCAAAGGGATTTGGGTCCTGGCTGCCCAGCAGCCCCAGGGCTCCCTGGAGCGGGGACTGCGGTGCTGCCCCTTGCAGCGTCTCATGCTCCTTTAATGAGAGAGATTGCACAAGAATTTGTGTCCCTTTTGTTGTTTAAAATGCATTTTAGGGACTCCAGGTAATGCATGGTTGCGACCTCCGGTCTCGTCCTTCCCGGTGCTGCTACAGGCAGGGGCCACGCAGGAGCTGCCAGCCCCCCGGCTCTCCCTTTGCCTCCCTGCCTGCACCGGGGCGCAGCGGGAGAGGTCACTGCCTGTCTGCCCGGCATGGGGAAGGGGCTGGACTGGACCCTGTCCCGGTCCCTCGCCAGGGCTGAGCTGCAGAGGACATTCAGGACCGTGCAGGCAGGCGGGAGGAGGAGCGGCTGGTGCGGGGACAGCCCTGTTATCCCGGGGAAGGTGACGTGGAGGTATCCCTGCAGGCAGAAATGACACCGGGGAAGGGGTGGGGGGTGAGTTGATTTTGCTGATGCTTCTGCACGGAGCCTCACTGCCATCACAACTGTCCCTATTGCCCGGGACTACCCACACATCCCCAGGCAGGGACGTCCCTGCCAGCCGCCCCGCGCCCCCAGCCCAGGGCAGCGTGCAGGGCTCCTGTGTCAGTGGTGTCCCCATGGCGGGCGCCTGCCGGCTCACCAGCTGTCCCCAGCCCTGCCAGCCCCTCTGTCATGGCTGGCCAGGGAACCCCGGGGCAGCAGGGGGAAGCTCTGTTTGTTCTGTCCCCATGTCCCTCCCAGCTGGCACTTCACACTGCATCTGCCTTCTTACGGGAGCTAATGAAGGATGCAGGCAATTACAGGGGGAGATCGATTAAATCCTAAATCAGGGAGGTTTCAAATGGCCTTGACCTTTCCCAGCTGTGGCAGGGGAGGCTGATCAAAGGCTGTTAAAAGATAAACACTCTAATAAAGAAAGGTTATGTTGCAGAAGAGCTGGATGTGTCCTTCTGCCACCTCCTGCACCCTCTGGCGTGGCACAAGCAGGAGGCACCAGCAAGCCCCGAGGCTGGCCTGGCTCCCTCTGCCCCATGCCTGTCGGCGTAAGCCCTTCTCCCTCCTGCCAACGCCGCTGACCTGCCGGGGAAGAATCGCTGCCGGAGCTGCTTCTGCCCGGTGCCCATCTGGGGCTGCAGGCTTGGCCGCCATGTGCCCCGTGATGGGGCTTTGAGGGGACGTCAACGGGTGGGAGAGGACGGGGTGGCGCTGGATGCACCCTCCGAAGGCCGTGCTGGGGATGGGTGCCAGCGGTCGTGGGTGGGGGGGGGGTGTTTCCAGCAGGCCGCCATGGGCTGATC